TACTGCTACTACTGCTACTACTAACTCCTAACTACGAACTGTGAATAACGAACTACTACATGCTAACTACGAACTACGAACTACTGCCTACTAGATACTGCACACAAACTACTCACTATTAACTGGCTACTAACTACTAACTATGAATTATGAATTTCGAACTACAACATGCTAACTACGAACTACTAACTACCAACTGCTAACTACTTCCTACTGATAATACTACGACGAAGACGACGACTACTACGTTTACTACTACGCTTAGTACTGCAAGAAATACTACGGCTACAGTTCTACGGTTCATTCTACTACTAGTCCTACTCCAAATATACTCGCGGACTCAAAGGTCTGTCAACCGAGCGGTCGTCTGGCACGAGACCAGAGACCGAAAAACGAACACGAACTGCAAACACTACGAGACTGAATATTACTACTACTTCTTCTACTACTACTACTCCTACTCCTACTACTACATTACTACAGTACTTTTTGCTACTGCTACTGCTGCTACTTCTGTTGCTGCTTCATCTAGCGCCACTATTACTTTCAGTGACGACGACTGACCTGCTGCGGCTGCGACTACCGCTACTAATACCGCCAATCTTGCTGCAGCGACGGCGGATTCCGAGGAGTGTCATTGACAGTGTCATGTGCTGCTCAATGGCATGACTGTACTTCAATTGGTATGATTTGCTGCGGTCTGGGAAGTCCGTTGCTATGCCACACATCATCGCAAATCAGATCATAATCAGAACTTGCACAAACTGACTCAGTTGGCATCGGAGCAGCCAGTTCTGTGGAAAGGCCGAAGTCGCCGAGCTTGGCGTGGCCACCTTCGGCCTTCGAGAGGAAGATATTCGGCCTCAGGTTGGCGACGCCTGCAGCAACCTCATGGACTCTGTCTCGGCTTGGAAAGCTGTGTGCAAAGTTTACCGAGACGTCAGTGCTTGGACATGCTTGGATGTTCGAACACGGCGCTCACCATCTTTTTGCGGATGCGGGTCGCATACACTGCGACAAATGGGAGCTGCAAACAGCCACACGAAGGGACTTCTGCCACGAGTCCTGGCTGCGCAGGAAGGCGAAGACCTTTGAGACCCCACTTGACCACATGGCACCAACGCACCAAGTGGTGCCGGGGTTTCATTAAAAAAAGTTGTCGTAGAGCGGCGATGTGGATGTTTCACACCGTGCCGGTCTCTGAAAGCTGCAGTGCCGAACCGCTGTAAACCTGGAGTCCAGCCTTTTCACGAAAGGTTGAGTGCCTAGTAACCGGCGTTTTGTATCAGGTAGGACGGGAACTAGACAAACCCCCCTGACACTTCTTGCCAGGTTTTCAGGCTGTCGGTTGGCAGTGAAGACCTGTCAACACACAGTCGTCTTCCCATCTGTTCGAAAGAGGGGGATTGCAGAGCCAATGGAAGAGATGCCAGTCTTGATCGTTCCTCGGGTAGCTCAGTGCACTGACCACTCGTCTCTTGTTAGCGCTTCTTGGCGAGTTGCCTTTCTCGGAGCCTTCCTCCTTCGCCTCGCAGGGACTCCATGGCGGCGACAAGCATCGGCCCGAGGGAGCCGTGCAGAATGCAAAATCCCGGTCCGCGCGAACTCCGCGCCATAGAAATGATGTGACGATGATTTCCCCGGGACATGATGAGGCAACCAGGCGAGGGCTCATGAATTTCGATACACGTGCCTCTGCAGCAGCCATGGCTGCGATGCTCGCAGCGAAGTTTGGAGGAAGCCTGCCAACACTGCCAACTGTCAACGGCAACAGCAACACGAATCAGGAATCACGGTCAGAACGATGTATTGCAGACACGGCCACCTTGTACTGCTGGAGGGAGCCTGTACAACAGCCATGCGATCGTGCTTCCGATGTGCCAGGTGTTGCTTCTTGTTGTTAATGTCATGATGGGCAGGCAGCACACTCTGTCATTTAAAGGACCATGCAAGCATGTATGTCTGCATGGCATTGAAAAGGATGCACTCGACGCTTGCTTCAATAAATGTGCCTTGATTCCACCACTGTTTAGAACGGAACTCCGAAAATATGCGCTGCAAAGTTCCGTGAGACAAGTCGACAACATCCGATCCAATCATGACAGCATTCGTCGATTTGCATTCGGGATTGGGCAAGCATGCGTCAATAGGAATTCAGGAATGTCGGTCGAAAGACGATTGATGGTGCGAGAATGCGGTCAATCACGTGCAGGGCACGTAGACCGTCGGACGAAAACCAGGCATACAAAAGCCCGAAGGGGTACCTGCACCGTACTTGAGCCTTGCAGCATGTGCCCGCACCGTCAGACCAATCGGCACTGACTTCGGAATTAAGTCAAACTTTCAAACACGATGAAGCCCTGGTGCCTTGCCTGCAAGACTGGCTCAGACTCTGCGCTTTGAAGAAGGGCGATGTCCTCGGAGGCTCCAGGCTTGACATGTCCCGCTGTCCAGGACTAGTACACGGGATTGTGGCCAGTCCACTATTAGTGATACAGCTCCTGGCACGATCCGCTGGTGCTGAGGGTCACGACTGCGAGAGCTATGACATTTGTTTGAATTCAAGCCAACTGCTGCTACTTGACTCAGCACACCGTTACGAAACAGGTGCACTGAAAACTCTGGAACCTGGCACCGTCGCGACACCAGGGCGAGGGGTGGAGGAGATGAACCAGTCACTCGACGAGCAGCCCCTTTCCCCCACCCATGAAAGGCCACCCTGAATTGCCCAAAGAGTTAGCTTGCGGAAGCGGTCAGTTCCAGACTACCGGATTATTGCATCGGAGGCTGGACTCGACATGCTGGACAGGAACATGCACGACAGCAATTTGGTGTGGAGACATGCTCCGAACTCGAGTATCGTCGTGGACTGAAGAAAGCAAGGGGCTCTAGGAGACAGAGACGGCGAACAGACTGACTGACACGAGAAGCCGGACTGGCAACGTGGGAAGGGGTTCGAACAAAACTACGTCGAGGCAGTAGATGCCATGCCGTTCTCGATGCTTGGTAATAGCAGTACAAAATAATAGCAACAGTAATTAATCACCGTAAAAATAATAGGGATAAACAAATTGGTGTATTTGGTGTGGTTGCGGCCGCCTGAGCCTCTGGCTAATTGCCTCGAGCCCCATACGCACCGCGAGACAAAAACCAGTGCTTGAACTTGTCCCCCATGTGACATCCTGGCATGTCCGGCAAAGTTAGTCCGAGGCATCTCTTCCAAATAGTCTTTCGGGTTAACCACCCAGATTCTGCGAGCCTCAGCAGCGCCGCCACCTGTGCTCAGGTGCTGCCGCTCTGCACCATATCACTCCAGGAGAATTTCGCTTCGGTTTCCAACAAGTGCGTATGCTCTGTGCACGGAGCCAAGACAGTCCAGCCAGCAAGATGCACCTTCCGGGTGGAAAAGTGGGGATCCTCATCCACAATACGTGCTGCAGACCGGAGGGCTTCTCGAGACCTCGGTGGCGACAGCCTAAGACCTGAAGTCTGCCGATGCTGTGCTGAGAGCCACTGGTCAGATGCCACCACTTCCAGAAAGCGAGTCCCTGCCATCTCGCCTCACCGAACCATGGGGCAGGAGCAAAGTGCAACTACCCATTCCTACATGTGGGCCGGGCTCTACATAACCGCGGAGGATGATTTGCCGCTTTCGCGCTAGATGGATTCAGCGCTACACAGGGATGCATGCCCTCCACCCCCAACGCACAGCTTGGCCAAGCCGAGTGGCGACTGGGGCGCTAGAAACAACAAGCTTGCATGAGAGTGGGCACAGCTCATGGCACAGCCCAGGGCATCGCACCTCCAAACCAGTGATTCTGCATGGCCCGAGCGGCCTCAGCGTGGCAAGCGGGAAAAACAGTCATGCTCGGTAACAACACAACAACGAAGCCAGATGCTGCGGGCATGGTCAACGCACAACTTGCCTGACAAAGCTCGTCAAGCCTCGACTCAAAGTGATTCTGAAGTTGCTGCATGCGCGGCTTCTGTCGATGGCTGCATGACCGTCCAGTGCTCGTCCACGCACACTCTCCAATCAATCATTGCCTGAGCCACGTGTGACTAAAAAGGGCAGCCGGCAAGGTCTACTCGGACTCGGGTGCATTTGTATCACTTCTTGGCAGAAAAGTCGGTACCCTAGCACTGGGCAGCGGGCGCTCTGAATCTGCAAGTTGCCCAAGCTGCTTAGAAATCTCCTCGGGCAAGATCACTTTCGGTTGTGCTGGCGAGATGTCCACACCGCTGGTTCAAACGTGCCGCGAAAGGAGAGCTTTGCGCCAAGTGTAGATAACTGTCGATGGCACATGGCACCAAAATTGCTGTGCAAATTCTGGCTGCAAACAAAGCAACTGGAAAACGGGTCCACAGAAACAAAGCGACAAGGAGATGCCCTTTGCAATGACGTCCAGGAAGGTGTAGCCCAGGACCTGCCAGCCATCAACCCTTCCAATTTCTGGCTCTGGCATACCAACTACGAGAAAGAATCGGAGAAACGGGACACATGAAGCAATATCTGGGCGAAAGTGAAAATCCTGCTTGCGGTGGGAGCAGGTCCGTCAGTTTTTTGATTCAGGCCACAGGGCACATCGCTAGCCAACATCATTAAGTCGCACACGGTCACTTAAAGCTGCTCCTAGCTATACGCTTGTGTAGCATGGCACAGAGCCTCGGTTTCCACACACAAACGTCTGAGGCGGGCCTGCTCTTGCCACAAGGTCATGATACCGAAGCTGCGCAGCAAGTGAAATGCCTGACAGACATAGACGGTGCTTGGAAATTGCGCCGCGACACATTAAAGTCCCGCATCTCCGAGGAGGCAGCCGGATACATCATCCACAAAATGACAGCAAACCTCGGCCAACAGTCAGAAAACACAGGCGCAGCCCAGCCCATCATGGACAGAGTTTCCGCACCTTTGCCGAGGAACCTTCGGTACTTTCTAGCCAGCTGCGCACATCCTGGCTCTAGCCTTGGGGCAATCCGAGCTAGCTCCATCGCCAAGCCCGGCTTGACATGTCATGCCATATGTGCTTCCATGGCACGGCAACTGCGAGACCTGCACACCACATCCAGCTTCTGTTTGGATGTCGATTCTGATGCCACGAACATCGGGCACCCAACATCTACACATGCCCAGCCTTTCGGAACATGAGCGCGAAGCACGTACAGGACGCAATGAAGAAGGGTTTTCCCTGCACCGGAACATCGGAAGCCGACTTCTTGAACAATGGCTTACCCAATTACCAAAGACAGGTATTTGCAAACTTCAACCGCAGCTAGTGAACACCCAGCACACAGTCGCGGCAAAAGCTGGCCGTGGCAATGCAATAGAAAATCAGTGCGTCGGAGAGTGAGCCGCTTGCTGCTAGCATGTCTTCTCTTGAGAACCGTGACACTCCAACAAACATCTGAACGACTGCATGACAACTTGGTGTGGCAGGGCAGCTTTTTCCGGCTACCGGGGAGGGGAAAAAGAGTTGTGAATGATGATGGGCCAATAATCAATACTTTTCGATGCGTGTCATGCCTGTCAAACATGCCCAAGCCTGCAAGAACATACCCTGCCTGGCCGTGGCTGCTGGATCGCTCAGTCGCGGACCGAAGACCCAGAAGCATCATCTCAGATGCGAGGACCGGGATTCGTTAACTGTCGGTCACATCCAGTGGCTAATGTATGCAAGGCTCTGAGGACGTGATGACCACGACGGATGCTATCCTTGGCCAAGGACCGCGCCCCTGCATGTACGTAGTTTCAAGAGCTTCTTCGGAGATTTCGGAGCGGTCAGAAGCAAAGGCACGTGCCTGCCAGAGACCTAGATCATTTGGACCAGGGCACTCATGTGCAGACGCTCGCGTGTATAAGCGAGCATAGGATATCCATTGCATCGGAGCCTCTGATCGCACAAGTGTGCATCGACGTCTCGCATGACAGCTGGGGCGTGGAGTAGGCGGCACCGGCGAGCAGCGGCGGTCAAATTCAGCCAAGGGTCTAGCACTGCCCAAAGCCTGGCAGTTCCGAGATGTCTGAGATGGAGCTGCGGCACTTTGACAAAAACCGAACTGTTTCGATGTTGTGCTAAATGCAGCGAAAGCAACCAATATCGGCCCTGCAGCCGGACCTCCTCTTCGCCTCAGGAGCATGCGGTCGTGCACGAGCCGGTCGGGCCGGGGCCAACGGAAGTTGTGTGGCTATGTAAGCCAACTGCAGCCACCATCCCCCGCAGCCCACCCAGGTGGACAAGATGATTAGTTTTCGGTGGGTCTTTCTTGGGGGACCATACACAAGCTTTCGACGCTATGCAAGCTGACGATGACAAAACTTCTGGGACTGTGCTGTGCCTTGCCTCTAGTGTTACGCACCAGCCAGCACGGCCGCGCAAGTGTGCTAATCGGAGGCTTCACGTGTATGCAGAAGTGACCGCAAGAGTCCTGTTGACATACAGCCGTAGCTTGGATGTCGCGAGCAAGAGTCTTTCTCGCTCGCTCGCTTGTTTGCTTGCTCGATCGCGTGCGTGCTTGCTTGCTTCATTGTACAACCCAGAAACCTGCGCACACCGGTCGTGTCGGTGAAGATTCTCTTAAGATATTTGCTTTGCCATGGGAAAGAGGCTTCAGCAAACTCTCAGTAAACTCTCTGTTTCTCTTAGTCACTAGTCTTTCTTCAGAGGGCTCGGGGGAATGCCCTTTTGTGGGGTTCACGGGCTCGAGTTTGGGCAGTTTGACGGCTGTCCCCTCTCCTGTGGTACATTGATACCTCTCTCTCAAGCACGCGTCCCGCCTGTCCACCAGTTGCCCTCGCTGATAAGCTTCTGGGCATCATTCGCAAGCGCTAAGTTCAGGTAATAACCTCACAGCACGGCGAGAGAACTTGGCTGGCGGTGCGTAGTGCTTAGGGCCACACCGGCCGAAACCCTCCATGACTGCTCGTGTTGGTGGCACATGTTGATTGATTTCACATACGGTACACACGCTACATACCTTACATGCTTCGTTGCATCAAGCAAGGTTTCATGAGCCATAAGCAGCAAAGAGCCGCACGTTGGCCACGAAGTGCACAGTACTTATGTATGCTGCATTGGTTACATTACATAACATACACCGAGCGCAGTACGACCGTGCACACAATAAACAGCACATACAAAATATTCAAAACATTCAATACATACAGTATGTATATGTCGGTATTCACAGGTCCCCCTCTCCTTCATCCCCCCTCCCCGCATGAATGGGGTCGAAAAGCGAATTACAAAGGGGGGGCAGGGAAAGGGGGGGGGGGGGTAAAAGTCGGAGGAAGCAGGGGGACTGGGAGCGAGGTGAATGTGGAAGGCGGACACATGCATTCAATGACATACACTACATTCACTACATTCAATTCAATACGCAGACATACATACAAACTGTACTGGGTGATCAGCGCTGCCCTTGAGAGCAAAGCTGAACATCTCTATGCCATGTGGCCGCTGCAAACACCGCTCACAAAGGTCATGATCGAAGCGACCTCTACAGCTCAAGGGAAAGAGGGAGAGTCGAGATGCACTGCGAAAAGTCATAAGCCAAACGAAAGCTAGCTTTATTGAGTGGAACTTTTAAGTCGTATTCACCATTGCCTGCTGCAAACGGCGAACATGCTCCAAGTCATTCATACCCGGGGCACCTGGGGAGGCTGGTCCCACCAGTGCAACGGGCGCAACATGTGCCACAACCTGTGCACACAATTGGAGCAGAGCCCGCGACCGCTTGTTCCCGGAATCATTCGCAGGACGGAGAGGACGATGAAAATGCCAACTAAGAACCTCATCTGCAGAAAGAGAGGCAAGTCTAGAAGCGCAAGGGGCCGACAGTCTTCCAACCCTGGACAAGGTCACCCATGGTGATGCACTGTCCGGCACCCGTGGGGCTGCACACGGGCGCTACCACGCTTGACTGTGAAATGTCAGATCTGCTGCTTCAGGAAGAGCGACTGATCCCGGCCGATATGTAAATTTTTGACAGATCCGAGAAGCTGCGCGCTAAAAAAGGTGGCCGCCACTGTGTAGGGCCTCAACATGCAGGCCAAGCTCGCAAATCTCACCCCCTGTGCCACCCCTCGCTGCCCAGCAGCCAGTTGGGAAGCACCCATTGTCGCTGCAAGATCGTTCCGGAAGTAGCCCACCTAGGACGTGGTAACGGCTGAACTGCGCTATCATCTTCGAGGCTCCCCACTATGCACCACGAGATGCTACACAGTAATAGACACTGCTGCAGTCATCTGCAGTCCATTTCGTCGCATGTCATGACCCCAGGGAGGAAACAGTTCCCAGGAACCTTTCCTTCGTAAGAGCGTATACAGGAAGGACAATTGCGGCTGCCAGAGCTTTCCTAGACATTGCGGAAGCGCCCCCTTCAGAGGCAATTCAAGCCGTGTCGCTGCGACCAGGCCAGGGCGACCAAGAGCGCCAACTGCGGGGTGCACACACGAACCGGAATGGATACAAAAATATAGACATCGATGTGGCGATCTTTCGTCTCAAGTACAGGGCATCGTCGCGCACTGTCGCCGGTCGGGGCAGTGAGGGTGAGGGTCTGCACCCGTAGCCGTAGCCCTAGATCATGCATCGCGGCGACAGACGCGCCGACCGAGTAAGTGCCCGTGATCGATAGTACCGGTTTTCTGCCACAGATCCGCATGCCTAGAACTCTTTTGAACCTCTTTGAGGTGGCCCGATATCTACTGCAATTCATGCGCTTTGGAAGACAAGTCTCTGCAAGGCCTCTCCTGGTCTCGCTTCATGCTACACTGTGTGCTTCTTGATGGTTCAGAAGCAGCGGCAAGCTGAGGGACATCCAAAAGACATGCCCGGCCTGCGAAAGAAGCACCAAGCCCTTCGTCCTGACAGAGACTGATGCTTCAGTCTGAGAGCCCTGGTTAATTGCGGGCGATTTCTCCGATGTCGGATTCTACTTCCTACTACTACTACGACGACGACGACTACGACTGCGACTACGACTACGACTACGACTACGACGACGACGACGACGACTACGACTGCGACTGCGACTACGACTACGACTACGACTACGACCACGACGACGACGACGACGACTACGACCACGACTACTACGAAGTAGTTCTTCTCGCTGTTGACCACTCCTGCTGCTACTGCTGT